TTGAGCGTAGAGCAGACTTGGGTCCAACCGAGTACTCGGTGAGCCTTTGGTAGGCGGTGCCACAAGTGCTAGCGAGTCGTCCAGATCCACGAAGTTAGTGATCGTTGACTGGAGCAACTGCGTGAATACGCAGTCCTTCTCTCGGACTCGCTGCACTTCCAGTTGCCATGGCGACAACAGCACCGCAAACTGCACTGCTCGACCGAAAAGCGACTTGGATTTGTGAACCCATCCAACTGTAGAGACTCGGGTGTACACATGCAGTGTCTTTCCCGCCAGCTGGGTGTAGCACACCTTGAGCAACAGCAACAAAGCTAGAACTTCCTTTTCTGCCGAGTGGTAGTTCATTTCGGCGTCCTTCAGGACTCGTCCGCAAAAGCGGACAGGATGTAGTTTGTGGTCGTGCATCTGCGTCAAGGTTGCACTTAACGCCCACTAGTTGGCGTACAGCATATGTGCACTTCCTTCTTCGCATCGAAATGTCGTAGGTAGGAGCTTCAGCTACTTTTCGTTGAAGCGCAGTGAAACTCTCTTTAGCCGCAGCCAAGTCATCCCCTTCGGAGAAATCGTCTTCCTTCAACTGATGTAGTGCGGCTCCATAGACTACGAAGTCTTGGAAGAAGCGACTGTAATAGTTGAGTTAGCCTAGGAACTATTGTATTCCTTTCTTCGACTTAGGGAACGGTAACTTGGTAATGGCTGCCATCTTCTTGGGGTCAGCTCGTATTCCTTCTGGCGACACCTGATGAGAGAGGAAGTCAGCCTTGGACTGACAAAAGATGCTTTTTGTAAAGCTGACACTGATCCTGCATTCCTCAAACCGCGCCAGCAACTTGTCCAGGGTATCCAAGCAGTCGTCAAATGTAGTACCAACAAAACAAATGTCGTCTACGAAGGATCGACGCTGGAACACTGGGACTAGCGACGATTCGTCCGGTTCATTAGTCGCGAACATGTCTGCGTATGGATCGTTCACCTTTCGTAACACCGGATCCAGCTCTGACGACGCCTGTCGATCAGCCTCAAACTTGGTCCGAGTCGTATTCAGGGTAAAATCTGAGTGATCGTTGGTGTTTGGCTGCTTCTTCATCGAGTTTCATTCGTTCAGCATATCGCTCCCATCCACCGTTAGGATGTACAAAGCCCCATAGCGCATTATCGATCATCCTTTGGTAGATCATGGGAGCATTCTTCAACCCAAATGGCATACGGAGCCACTCAAA